AGGAGGGAAACCTATAAAGAAACAGCCGAGGCGCCGATCGCCGATACGGTGCCAAAACCTGACCGGTGCTCCATCACTCTCCCGCACGCATTCGACGGATATGTAGTCAACTGGGTGAAATGAACAATTAGCCCCAGACCTGCAATGCTTGATTGGTCATAAGTGGACCCTACTAGATGTTTCCGCGTGGGCTTTATATACCGTTTTTGAATGTTCCATTTGACCCTTGTATTGGACGGCGTGATCCGCCAATACATCTGGCTTCACCTCTCCTAGTCTGAAAGCTGTCATTTTTCTTTCCTGCATGAGCGAGTGACCTCGAATTCCGATCACTAAACAATCGTTAAATTAGGCGAGAGACCTGGACTCCAGCTGCAGTGCAGTGGACCCTATTCACAATGTCCGTATCGGTTGTTGCAGGCCATTCTGCATCAGCAACAAGCACAATTTGAGACTTCCCGCCAACTGTCAATCCAGACCGGTTCACATTCTATAATCGGCAAGCCATCCGAATCGGTAGACGCCGTCGTCAAGTGTATTGTCGAATTTTCATACGACGCTGATGCTGACATCAACTTTGATTTCTGGCCCAACCTTTACGAAGATGTGTTACGCGTTGAACTTGGGGATCACGACTACGGGGTGGAAGGCCCAATTTGCTGTTAAGGAAACCTGGCACAGTAGAACATTCCAGATATATCCATTTCATTCTACCAAAGAATGCTCGAGATTGTATTTTTGATGAGACGGCCAAGTGAAGAGCATGCATCTATTTCCAACACGCGATACCAATGTCCAAAAATCGCCAAAACGAACGTTGACGGCTACGTTACTTATGCTGGTCTCGTCAATCGTGAGTGCGAAATATTTGACTTCAAATCCATCACGGCTGATCAGTTCAAATGTCCGATTTTTATCCGTGTCCCACATTCCCCAGGGGATGCAGAGATTCGCACCAGGCTGCTACGCGAATGAACAAGATGGACAAATGAGTGTACAGACCATCACTACTGGACGCCAACGATTACTAAACCTCAAGCACGACACGCTTATGCTGGGGAGGCAACAGTCAACCCCCAGTCTTAGTGTATTGAAGACCGCTCCAAAGAAACGGCTTTCAACTGAGACCGGACGTGAAAAGCCTAGAAAAACCTAGGCCACCGACTGCCAGTTAAAAAAACTGATGAGTGGAATTTTGTTCAAGTATGTCCATTGTTGAAACACGTTTGCCAAAATTGCCGTAGACGGAGCCATAATGAAACAAACTGTCGATCTGTATTGTTATTCGATTGTTATTCCGATGCGATAGATTAACGAATGCCCACGGTGGTGTCTTGCTTTACATCCTGTCTTCCCTGCGGGAGAGACTTATGAGCACCTACCGTAGTGACGATTGTTTGTGTGAGCTACTGTGGTGCCCCATCCGCCTCGGGCGCGGAGAACTACTTGTGAGCGCAGTTTATCGCAGCCCCCTGTGTCGTTGTTTGGGTTGGCTGCCCATTCTTCGGACCCACATGAGTTTTCCACACTTTCTAATTATGGGCGATTTTAACTGTCCTTCAATACAATGGCCTGATGTGCACTTGATGCCTGGACATAGTGAGGTTGGAGCAAGGTCCGTGGAGTTGGTACTTGAAACTGTTACATCGCAACACATATGCCAGCCAATACGCATAACAACATGCTAAACCCCGTCCTATCTCCACCTGATGTTAATGAGCTACGAACGACGAGTGCGTGACGTTCGGATCCTGAAGTCATTGGCTACAAGCGACCACTCAGTGCTCATAGCTGATATGCAATTACCTTTGCCGTATTCACATCCGCTGGAACCAGCTTACAACTACTGGAAAACGGACTTCGACGGTCTAGCTCGAGCCGCAAGCCAACAGATTTGATCTCCATCACAAGTTGCATCTGTGGAAGACTGTTGGGCATGTATAAAAGAGAGATTGACATCATTGTGTTTCCAATTTGTGCCCTTGAAATGTCGGAAGTTTGGACCGATTATGCCTCATTGGTTTGACAAAGAGTATGGAAATCTGGCCCGGAGGCGGCGCAGACTGTGGGACGGATTTCTGCTCTCTGACACTGCCAATGACCACGAAGGGTATAATGGTCAACGGCACATCAGCAACAGTTTAAAAAACGAATAAGCGCCGATATCTCGAAGAGCGGCTCGCAATCGCCGCGAAAACCGCCCCAACGAGAATCTTTGCTTACGTGAAGCAACATTTGAAACCGGCAGACGATGTGCCAGTGCTGGATAGCCCGGACGGACAGCCCACAAACTCCATCACTGAGCGTGCGTCCGCGTTGGCAGCGCACGTAGCTACTGTATTTGCAAATGACCAGATGTCTGCTCCGCGTTCGAGGTGTACCGCTTTTACCGAACTGTACAGTCTGGATTGCGACGTTGAAGAATTATGTCAACTACTCGCCAGCCTTGACGGCACCAAACCTACCGGACTTGATGGGCTTCACCCACTGATTCTCAAGTCACTTTCGGCCATCATCACTCCTGTCGTGACTGACCTTTCAACAGGTCGCTGTCCGAAGGTTCGTTGCCGACTGACTGGAAATGTTCGATGGTGAAGCCTTTTCCGAAAGGCGGCGGCCCTAGCAAAGTAGACAATTACAGCCCAATTTAGCTGACACCTATTTTGGCAAAGGTTACTTAGAAAATCGTGAAGAAGGGATTATTGCAGTTGCTACAGTCAAATGAGGTTTTGACACCCGCACAGCACGGTTTTATGCAAGGCCGCTCATGTATTACAAACTTGCTTGTGACGAGACATGAGTGGTTGAAGGCAATAAGCAAGGAGAAGTCTGTCGACGTGACATTCATCGATTTCAGTAAAGCGTTCGACAAGATCAGCCATGAGGTTCTCCTTCACAAACTCAGGATGTGCGGTCTCGGTGGCTCACTGCACCAGTGGATCCGCAACTTTCTTGTTGGACGAAAGTGGAGGGTACAGGTTGGCGACCGTCTAACTGACTGGTATCCCTCTACAAGTGGCGTGCCTCAAGCCACTGTGCTGGGGCCCACTCTGTTCCTCATCCACCTCAACCATCTAGCTTGGCTTCTCCGGTCGCCATGTGCCTTGTTTGCGAATATCATAAAGATTTGGAGAGAAACTGACGCTCCCAACGACTGTGGCGTACTTTAGCAAGAGCCCGACCGACTATCCACATGGTCTGCAGAAGTTCACTTCCAGGTCAACCCAGCCAAGTCAGTATTTATGGGCCTGGGGATGGGTGCTGACGGCCGAACCTACACTCGTGACGGACAACCGCCATATGCCACACCCTCCGTGAAGAACCTAGGTGTACGCTTGCGCTACGATTTGAAGTCGATGGACAACACGAACAGGTTAAATCGTAACGGACTGCGCATGCTTTGGGTGCTCAAACTTAGATTCGTCACGTTGTTTAAAAGGATTCCACGCGCTTCTTCTCTTCCATCATTAGATCAATGCTAGAGTACAGTTCGCCCGACTACTTTCAGATTACCCGAGGCGATGCATAAGTGATCGAACGGGTCTAACACGTTGCTACCAGACTCATCCCGAGTTAACGTGACTTGGGGTATGAAGACCGGTGCGAGAAACTAGGACTCCACACCTTGTCCTACCGTTGTGTGCGAGTCGACCACATTATGACCTACGGTATTCTACATCACGGTGAATCCCCATGCCGAGGCCAATGCTGCACTTACAAGGACCATGCAGCACACGTGAACACAGATACAAACTTGTCGTGCCGGATGTGAAGCGAGTTCCCCACCCACTGTGCTTCGTACGGAGAGTGGCAAATATTTGGAACAGTTTGCCTGAATATGTGATATAGGCAACATCTGTGCAGCAGTTCAAAACGTTGTTAGATTCATATTTTACCACTATTCGATTCAGAGAACGAGTGCACACTTACGATGACATGTCACATTTGTGCGTCCTGCAATACCGTGAGTCAGAGATTTTAAACGTTACATGAGAACAAGAACGACATTCACGGCTAACCATTTTAATAACGTTTTTCACTATATTTCGAAAGAGTTATATAGAATTCATTTCTACTTGCTCTGTAATACAGTATTCAGTATTCACACCGATAAGCACCCTCGGTATTTCACCCAAATATATGCGTTTTTGACAAACAACGCACTCCGAGATAGTTGGTTTGCAACTCTACGGAACGCATAACCAAACCACCGAGGGTGAATCAAGTTCAACCGTGAGAAAATATTCCGCCAGGCTTCAAGCGACCAACTGCAGCAGTACCCACTCAGTGAACCCACTAGATGTGAAAAGCAGTAAGGAGGCCTCGGCACTTAAGCGCGGTTAGATGCTAAACATTTCTAGTGTGCAGTGAAAGGTCTCTGATCTACACAGTAATGCTTGCTGGACCGCAGCATGGTATCGCCATCTCCTAGCCGATAAATCTTCGTTGTGGCAACTTCTTTAGAGCATGAACTCGAGTTACATGATTTGAATTGTTTTTTCCCACCCAAACTGCCTACAATGCTGTACGTTTCTCGGCAGCTTAGTTTTGGGCCACCATGCACTTTACAAGACGGTACTGTGCAAGTACGTAGACAGCAAGCCTCACTTTATCTCGGTTGCCAAATTAGCTACGTCGGTTGCTGTAATCCACCCGACCTAGGCAGCTTATGCTACTGATTTCTTCCTAGTGGGTCAGTGTTTTACAATTTCTTCCCTGGTCCGGAGGAAAGCGCGTTACCTGTTAGTCTTGAGGAAACTGAGCTGGCTTTCGGCCTTTCTTCACAGTACAATTGCTACCTTTTTACTCATACATCAATGCTCTTCTGATGAAGAGCAGATTTCATGAATCACACCGGTTATTACCCTAAACAATCAATAAGTTTGATGCGCTGTTATCTCACTGTGTCACAACTCTTTGTGCACAACTGCACAAAATTTCAACGTGACTGTTGGATACTGTTTGCATACTGTCCACACGACTTGCTCTGTTCATCACAGGTCACCATCCAGAGCCGCAACGAGAAAGGAATGAGCACCGCTCCTCCTACCGTTGCTTTCGGCTACTCTGGCGAAGCAGTCCCCACAATATCCCCACCGACGCCGACAGTGATTAACGTGACAGGTCAGGGTGCAGTCCTGCAATGGCAAGCACTGACGGAAGCACAAGCGTTTCAGGTGAACGGATACTTCCGAGGATACAGAATCGAATGGTGCGACGCATCTGCGACATCGACTCAGTGTGCAGCGGGAACACGGTTTCAGGTACGGTAAATTTTGAACTTCATCCGAGTTTCAGACTAGTTGTTACTGACTGGCAGTCACTTCTTAACCCTTCAACCTCTGTACACCTTACTTTCTAATGCTAGTTTTGCAACGCTCCCGATAAACGAATAACAAAATTTCATCTTCACTAAGCCTTCAATACCAACTAGTTTGTCTAGTTACCATCTACCACAATTTCATTACCTCAGAGGCCTAGAGAAATCAGCAGGAATCACCATCGAAATTTCTTCGTTCCATCGCATGGTATTATCGAAATGTCCAGCACAAGGAATTTGCACTGAGCAGAAATGATACTATAAGTGTTGGCCCAGTATGTGTTGTGTTTCGATGTACCTTTCCGCTTAAGTTTAGAATAGCTTATCTAGTGTAAAGCAGATTTGGGCTAAAACGATGAAGACGACACTTACGTCTCACCACTAGCTGATGACCCAAAAATGGACCCTATCTACAGATCATTGCACACTTACTTAAATCAGCTAGATTGCTAAAGGACGGGGATGAAGTAGTGTGTGCGCTTTGTTGCTTATCACGAGGGAAGCACTCTGAATCTTGTTAACTGGCAGTAACATGTGGAACTCTGATCGTCCACTCATCACCGGGCTACCACTAAATCCAGAAAAATGGCTGATGTTCACGTTTGGTGCTGTTCGTACTGGAGACAATATATGGTGTCACGGACTAGATGGAATCCTTATGTGGCCCGCTTGCAAGACTTCAGTTGCACTCATTAGGTAGCAACAGCAGTTTTACTACACGAAGTTGAGATATTAATGACGTCATCTTAATCCCCTACACCTAAACTAACGTGTCACTCAATCAACGCTTGACGCGATGGTCAGTGAGTGATTGGAAATGTCATGTTAAGTCAGACGCTGTGTAACGATGGGTAGTTTCGGTCCACATCCTAATTGTTTGCGATTCGAGACGGAGTCCTGCTATTTTTACCTAATGAGAGTAAACAAGTTGGAAACCGATAGTGGAGTGTGGGGGTGCGAGTCATTCCAGTGATGGAATTGCTCAAGGTCCACTTCATTGTGAATCACGGTCCCCCATTGAGGCTGCTTGTCACAATCCATCCATTCAACGAGTACTCCAAGACAACCCTACAGTTAGTCATCGACCGGTATATAATATGCGTTTACTGTTGTAACTCGGTAACTAAAAGCGTAGAGTTTTCGGCTTGCGTCCCAGTGATCCCGAGTTCGAATTCCCGCTTTTTCTACCTGATGAGTTCAAACAAGCTCGAAACTCATCGGGGAGTGCAGTATTTTCAAGCGGGTAACGTGTAATATCCATCTCTTTCATCAGTTACACTCCATGTGATTGAATTGACCAAGATACACTTAAATGCGAAGCACCATCCACATTGAGATTACGCGTTGCAATCCATACAATAAAGGAATGCAATGTGCACTCCAAAATAATCCCTCCAATCCATGTCACGAATATTTATGCAAAAAGGAACCTATCAAGATAACTTAACGGTGTGGCATTTGTATCGAGACTGTTGTACCGCTTTCTTACATGCGCTGTTTATGTGTCAGATAATATGTATCAAGCAATATAGAAACTGTTTTACACATTTTTTATCTGGCACTTTTATTCGGCACTTTTGCATAATAAGATACCATATCACGCACCATTTCTTCGTTTCTCTTGAAGGATGTGCTAGTTAGAATCCCAACAACACCGGTCTTGTACAATCGCAGAAGGCGATCGGTTTCTATTCGGGAGGAAGAGCAGGCTTCTGCTAATGATACAAACGACTGGCATGGTGTTCACAGTACTGCAGAAGAGTCTGTTCTAGATCGTTACCTGTCCAATACAAGCAAACCTACGAGTCGAACTTATGCGCCATTCTGGTCAAGATATTCTATCTCCCCTATTTGTGGAACAAACCCTGTGCGTGTTATATCTTGTCCCGGCGCAGGCCGGTTCCCGAGGGCAGCCCAGTCACCGTCGATTCTTGGCGATGCGTACGATTCCGTTGTGTCTCGGATGCCCAGACAAACAACTTCACCACGTGTGCCTCAAGCAGTAACTGGAACACAAAAGTCGGCTCCGTTTGTTTACGGGCAAACAATTACCCACACGTTGACTGGTGTGCCCGGGGCGTCGACCGCCCGTGTCTGGTTGAGGGTTCTAAACACCAGGTTTGCAGGACCCATGGGGTAAGTATGCCACGTATGGACGACTGCATTGGACCAGTTTCTATACACATTGCTTTGGTTACTGTCCTCACACATCATCGGCAACCTGTTGCAGCCACGTAATTAACTTGACGCAAAGTCTTTAATAAACGCAACTTAAATGTTTCAATTTAATTTCAACCAGTGCGTCAAACAGACCCTAACCAGTGTGCTTCCTCAGCTCAGGTAGATCAGGTTAGACAAGACATGATTTAGCATACGGGGGCTATCCAGGTGCAGTATTGTGCACATATGAGTGCCCGCGCCCAATTATCATCCCGTGTCGTCGCAGCATGTGCTTAGAAAAACACAGATTTTACCAATCCCTGAACTGCTTCATCCATCGCCCCAAGCCCGGTGTTTGTATCAGCTTTTATTGGTATGCGGTACTTAACCTGTTATGCGTACAGATCCCTGATACTCGTGATCTACTGCTTAAGCTTAGCATCTCGACATTTAGATCCGAGCACATACGGTAGCCAATTGATGTATGCAAACCATCTTCACGTTTGGATACTTGGTCCGGCAACTCCCGATGTTCTGTACCAACCGTCACTCCGGTCTGTATGTGTGTGTTTGTCAAACTTAACCTGCCTTCCTGTCACCCAAGTCTTCCGTACCCACCGTGAACGTTATAACACGCGGCAACAAGCGTGATGGTGGGGAAAGCTATAACAACTACATACGGAACTCATCAGCAGCGCTCTCAACGACAATTGATAAGATCAAAGTAACTCCAGCAAGTGCACGCCCACCACGCGTACATCTTACATTAGGAGAACAGTTCCACCTAATTCGACAGGAAGTTTAATCTACTGAAGCCACTGAGAAAATTTGAGGCATCAACAGTACATCGGCACACCGCTACTAAGCCTCGCTACCCCGATGACATCACATGTGGCGCGGGGGCTGGGTTTACCTCGAGGTCTCCCACACCTACGCGGATTCGTACCGGCGACGTCAGAATTACAACGCAGGTGTGTAATCTCTCGGCCACCGGCCGAGTAAAGCCACTGAGAAAGGGGCTTAAAAACAGCGCAGGAGAACTCACAGATGTGCGATGGTCCAATGGGTTTCAGTGGTGCAGTTTACCAAAAATACCGGTTACTCAGATTGCGTTAGTGCAGAAAATTGAGGGTTGGAATGATGGAGGAAGTGGAATGTCTAAGGCCAATGCAAGAACGTAAAGTCCCGTCCCATGTGAACCATTTTGCGATGAACGTGATAGTTTTCATATGATATTTGGGTAGAAAGTGGCCTACGATCGTAGGCGTGTAGAGCAGCATTTAAGCATTTCATCAACAGAGGTGAGTTCGTTCCTGGGATGTGACGGGCCTGAGGCGTGATCGCAACCATGAAACAAGTAGGTAGAGTAAGGGTTTACGGCCTGAGCCAGCTGGAGGCCCTAGGTTCTGGACAGCGAACTGGACACTGGCATCGAGATAAGGCGATCAGGGACATCGTACTGTCCGCTGCACTCACCCCGTTCATAGTTTCCAGTTCAGAGGGCATAAAATAGCGCGGTTTATTGGGGCGAATCAGCTGCATCGTTTTATAATACCCTACCCAAGAAGTCAAATCATGTTGTGCTTTGACATCGCCATTCGCTGATAAACGATGCGGTGTAGTTTCATTGTATCCATATATATTGCGCCGAAGCTAATTTTTGTTTTATTGTAACTAACGAGTGAAGTGGACTGCGCATCGACGAAGCTGTAAGTGAAGGTGTACAAAGGTTGCCTGTGTGGGGTTTTTCCGGTATAATATGAACTAGCCATCCCAAGACGACAAGAACCCCATGGCCCCTTCATAGCTTACTATTCAAGAGGACAGCGTAAGTCTAACTCATTCTTCTGAGAAGCCTTTTCGCAAACCACTCAAGTACTTTGAATAGTTACATTATTTTGAAACAACTCGGGAGGTTTGTGCCGACTTTTTGTTACTACGTTGATTCAGAGTTTGTGCTTGAACAACCAGCTTCCTGGTATCCTAACCATCTAACCAATTTTTTAAAGGTTTTTTTTACAAAAGAAACTATGTTGTATTTTTATCACTGGATAAGAAAAGACAGCCAATCCAAAGTTTTTATAGCTTTGCTTGGGAATAACCCGGGGTGCATCCACGGCTTGAGCATGCACGCCAAATAGAATGCTTAGCATTAGTCTTGTGAATACGGTGGACATCGACGAGACTAGGTCTTTTGATCGCTCTCATCTAATGCCTCTTAGATTGTGTGACACGGCAATGGCTATCGAGTGTCAAAACTAACATCACTCCGAGGAGGCACAACTTTGGACTTCACCACGACCTAGTCGAGCTTGAAGAGTGTCAAGTAGTTGCTTGTCGATGCGCAGACGTACTGAGCACCGCGATGAATACCTCACAGATACTTCACACCACGCGCTGAGACTGGTGATAACTTGCAACTGAGTGAATATCTCCTGCAGTAAGCGTCATTCATCTAGCCGATAATTTTTAATTTTGCACCAAGCGGATCAGTTACTGCCGCACAGTTGTTTTGGACCAGGTGTTAAGCTCTCTCTCTCTCTACGAGTCTTTAGCATTTGTAATGCGTATGCTTTATTTCCGTCAGAACATTTAAACATAGTGTCGTAAAGGCTCACTGTCGTAACGCTTACCTGTCTTTGCTCACTTCCTGGTGCCGCATCCAACCCAGCCGGGGAAACCAGAATAGACAACTTGGCTGACCGGAGAGGATTTCTTAGAATTATCCATAGTTATATTCATAGGTCAGGCATACGCCATCACAATGACATTCTGGCCGTAAGCTTCCGCTCACCTGCGCAAACTTCGTTTGATATCTGCAAACACGTAGACCCGGCCACGCCCGTGGGACCATCGCCACACTTCTCGGGCTGGATGTCTCCGGCCCCTTGGTAATTTGACACCCGATAGGTTTTCGCACATATCTCGGCTCACAAAATGCCTAAATGTCTGATTGGGTGTTGGTACCACCACCTACGCGGACGAACGTACACTGAGTTAGCCGACTTTCGACAGGCCCAACAAGCCCTTGCTTTGGTGCTAATAACACCAGTATTCGGTCGTTCTGCCTCTCCAACACACAATTTATGGAAGTTTTAAGTAACTTAAAAGTAGAACGCAGCTTATATTGCCGATTCACGGAAGCTGCTCCTTAGTTATCGAGTTTTGCAAACATAAAGACATCTTCTTGAGACTTCTGTACCAATATAGCCTTAGAGTTCATAGCTGATCGTACAGAGTGGAACAATGGAACAATGGTGTAATACAGGTAAAAAAGACAATGCTTAACAAGTCCTGTGGGATGGAAATTATTGCGAAACTCAAATTGCATGATAAAGTGTAAAGCGTTTTGGTGCACTCACCATAGACTTAAGCAGAGTAGCGGAGATGTTCGCATATCAAAGTATAAATCCATTGGTTGGGAGTTTGGTAAGACACCGTTTGATTGCGTTTTGTAGCCCCCTGGCTAACAAGTTAGAGAATGAAATGCAGATGAGGCAGCGCATCGTCAACTCGTTTTTTAGATATCACCAAATTAGGACCAGAGACGACATAATTAGGGAGAGCGTTGCAAGGCTGGCACCCGCGGAGGGAAAAGAAATTTCTACGGCATTCAAGCCGGCTATATTGTGTTGTCAGTTTCAGAGCATGACCTCTTAGGTTAGTGTTGTGGTTTACCTGCGGTGACTGACGGCAAATATGGTTTGGGTTCTGCAGAATCTAGTAAACAATTATGGGATCCTCCCACAAACGTCGATATCAACTGGTGTACATTCTTAGATATTTCAGTCTAAGTTGATATGTCAGATGAAAGAGGCCCGTGCCGTTTATGGTTGCCCTTCGTTAAGGAGTTTCGAGAGCAACGAGATCCCGATTCTGCCACGGTTGTCACGCCTGGATAGCATATTCCACGTGCGGTCGCAGGTAGGTGTTAAGCATTTGGGAAAGATTGAGGGTTCAAACCGACCGAAGGCTCTGCGAACTAGGCCGAAGTGTTGACTTCCGGTTCTGGACTCCTTCTCTGCTTGTTTCGAGCATCTGAGATCTTCCTGTACCAATACACCCAAGTCACTCTCCTGAGAGACCTACCCCAAGGTGTGGTCTCCAAGCTTGTAAGCGCTCACCGGCTGATGACACAGATGTATCACGTTGCACTTAGCTATGTTCAACTGAAACAGGTTCCTCGTTGGCCATTCATAAATGCAACCTAGGTCATGTTGGAGTAGATCTTGATCTTTTCTGTTACTAATCGCCCGCCATCTGTTGACATCATCGGCAGGAAATTTGAGGAGATAACTCTTGCCAGGTCGTTAATAAACACCAGCACCGAGCCCTGTGGGACACCACATTCCACCTCAATTGGGTTTGAGAGTGATCCCCTAACATGCATTTTAAGCTTCCGTTGATGAAGAAAGTTGCCAATCCACCTAAGAACAGGATCTCCGATTTCGCAGCTCTGTAGTCTGTGAAGTAGGTTGCGGTGATCCAGGCGGTCGAATGCTTTGGAGAGGTCCAGGTAGATAACGTCAACTCCGATACCATCATCAGCCACTTCCATCCAACTACCTCGTGCAATCAGTAAGTTGGTGGTGCATGACCGGTGTTGACGGAAACCATGCTGCTCCGGTAACAAGATGCTGCATTTTTCCTGGTAATCCATTAAAGCCTCAGCGACGACTGTCTCCATCACCTTCTCGAGCACAGGGAGGAGAGTCACTGGGTGATAGTTTGCAAGATCTGAACGGCTACCGCCTTTAAAAATTGGGTCATAATGCCACGCTTCCACATAGTGGGGACTTACTGTTCATCGAAGCACTTTTGGAAGAACTGTGACAGTGGTTCAGCTAGCTTGGTAGCCGCAGCCTTCAGTGCTTTCGGGCGGATGTTTTCTGCTCCCGGAGTTCTATGATTGTGCAGTGAGAGTAACTTCCTGGCACAATTGCTGGGTTGGAAATTACATGTGTAAACAATGGAAT